AAAAAATTTTTTTGAACACAAAAAAAAAAAAAACAAATCGAATTATTATTTTTTACACCCAACTAAATCACAATAGAAAATATGCAAATTGGTATTTAATTAAATTTTACATTCTTGGCAACTGCTAGGCTGTAGAGTCAACTCGAAGTGAGAAAGCCGACTTTATGTATATAATATATAATTAGCGCTTTGTAACCGCTGAAGCGATTTTCAGCCGAGCTCTGCCTCCAATTTGTGGTTTCGCGTCTTGATGTTTTTCCAACAAATGGAGGGACCTACAGTTTTATACTAAGCCGCCTTCGAACGGCTGATGGATTTTTTATGAGGATGGATTTATTTCATGTCCGAAATTAGAAAGATTAACTTAATTTTTCTTTTAAATTAACTTTCCGTAACTTTTGGATGTTGGGGGCACCGGAATTTAAGCCCGAGCCTTCCGAATGTCAGTATGCAATGCTAACCGCTCGGCTACCGCGGCTGCCGACTTTAAGTCAATTATGATTACGGTAAATACAGTTTTAGTGAAACTCGGCACTAAATAACTTAGAGCTGGCTGTAACTTGACTATGGATATGCTCCAATTACTGTAATTTGCAATGACGGTGAAAGAAATTTTTTTATGGCAGGATTCAAAGTTCGCTAAAATTAAATTTATTCTTTGGCAGCAAAAGTTAAAATTTATATATGCATTTCGAATATTAATACGAAGAAACGATGGCAAGTGAAATATAAATAAACATATGAGACAAGTAACACGAAAACATTTACTTAATGTAACAATGCACGCCCACTTGTTTACAGTTACTTAGTTGATAGAATATGTCTCAAAAGTCTCAACACAGTTCCATGCGCGGTTACTTCAAATACTGATTTGCATACAACAAATTTTTCAAAAAAGTGCTATTTCATCAAGATGGCGAAATTTACCGTTTTCGGAAAGCTGTTTAAGAAATCTGAACAATTTTACTTTAAATAGGCTTTATTTCTCAAAGCAAGTGAGTTGTTTTATTATATGATTTTTTTTTTTTTCGGCAGCATGTTTATCATGGCCGATAGCACATCTTTTGCATTTGACCTATTATTTGTTATTATTTTCATTTATTTTAATTTTGATTTGGTTAACGCCATAATTACATTTAAATTTCTCGTCAGGGTCATGGCGAAATTTGCAAATTATCGGTCATTTATATGCACGATTGATGGTCACTTCCAAATCCGACTCAGCTCTCATTCTCATTCACTCTCACTTACACGTTGCTCGTTTGATAAAGAGCAAATCTGGCGTTGAATACAAATGGTGCGAAGCACGATGACCTTGCGAGGGGCCCACGTAAATTGAGTTGTCAAACGTTTTTGTCTATTCTCCATAATAATTTGTTTTTTTTTTTTTATTTTTTATATAAATTTTTTAATGAGTCTTAAAAATTGTGTTGTAACGAGCATTTCAATTAAAATCAGCTTAGACAAAACGATGGTGTTGGAGAGTTTTGTTTATCTTCATTCATCAATTGCTCCATGTTTCAACTTGAGAAGAAATAGAAACCTATGCAGCCAATTTCCAAATATTATTTAAATAAGTTTTAAAAGTTATGAGGAAAGTAGCTGAAGGCTGTATTTTTCTAATATTGGTACGAAAATAAGAGCTCCTCATAAAAGCCCATCCGTAGCGTCGCTATGCCTTCTTCCTATTGGCAAAAAATGAGTACAATCGATTTTCATAGGCTTCGCTGGAGCCCAATTCTACTCCAGCCAAATCATTCGCCCTAGACAGGACCATGTGGTAATCACTTGGTGCGAAGTCCGAACTATAAGGTGGTTGCATAGGAACCTCCAAGCCAATTTTGCGGAGCCTCTGGCAAGTCACTATCGTTGTGTATGGTCTGGTATTGTCGCGATGAAACACAGTTCCTCTTCAGTTGGTGAAAACTGGGTGCTTATGGGTTATTTCTGCCTTTACAGGGTCCAATTGCTAACATTACATGTCTGAATTAATAGTTTGGCCACAAGAGAGCTCATAGTGGATGATTGCTTGCCAATACCACCAAAAATACAACACAACCTTGCTGGCAATCGTGGCTTAGATACTGTATCTGCCAGCTCACTGCCCTTCGACCACGATCGTTTTCACTAAACGTTGCTGTAAGTGAACCACTTTTCATTATAATCACCTTGGATTGATTTTGTTACGATTCAGCAGCGGTACGTAGATGGAAATTCGTTCCAGGAGGGTTTTGGATCTTCTTATGAATACACAACCTTTTTAACTGTTTCAAAGCTATTGCCATATATTGCAAAAATAGTGGATTTAATCGGAACCGCCTCTAATCCAGATCTCATTGCTGCGATTGCTATCGATGATCAAATCAATGATTAGTGCTGTTTATCGGCTAATCTCGTTGACTTCTTCAGTGTTGTATCGATCCGACGCCTTAAAAAATTAGCTCATTAATATTTCGATTTTATGGTCTGCATGGGAGAGGGTCACTAAATCCCTACTCCTTAAGTTCATAATTATCCTTCTTTTTAATATTTTATGAGTAGCTTGTATGAGAAGATAGTGAAATGAGAAAACCAAAGGTCTTAGGGTGGTTGTCAACTTAGGGAATTTGGTAAATTTTCGTAGTAGCTCAGCTGAATAGCCTTGCGGTCCACCATCCGGAGGATCCCAAGTGTGGACTCGATATCCTTGAGTGTGTTTCTGACTTGGATATTGGAACTGGAAATAATAAAAGCTAAAAACTGCCGATCCCCTCATTTATAGGAATTTTAGGATTGCCTGCCAACCTGCATAAAGCATAAAGATTGGAGCATTGGTTGCCATCGGTCCCTATCATAAAGTATGTCATGATGTTTTCTTAACTTAGACTCCAATTATTTCGACACTCGTCCTATTAATACTCTGATTTTGAAGAGAAGCAGTTGCCCAATCAAAAATGTCTTGAATAATGGTCTACTGCCATAATGATACAGTTCTGGGTCGATCCAAACTTTCGTTATTTTGCTCGATTGAAAATTCACATTCACAGAAGTTTTGCCAGCTGGTTTTCTCTACAAACTAAAGCTAAGCGAGCTTCTATACTTCAATTTTTTTTTAAATTCTGTTTTTTTTTTTTAAGAAAGACTTTCCGTAAGGGTTAACTTTACTAAAGTAATTTCAAATCTGTGGACAAGTATTCGAAAGCAGTGCTACGGTCGACTGTAAATCAAACGAGGATTCGAGAAGACTTCTATCCTTTGCCTTTACATATTGTAGGAACTCTGCTTAGAGCTGAGTTTGCCGTGAGCTTAAAATGTGAACTTTTCAAGCTGTTTTTACATTGCTAATGCTTCCATAGGAGGTTTCCTTTTCCACTGCTTTCTCCAGCGGCTACTGCATAGAATATTTCATATCTATAGTGCTCTGTAGCTATAGCTCATCTTCACATCGTATTCAATGCCATTGTCGATGGGCAAAGGAGCGTTAGTCTTTTGGAAAACCTCGAAAGCTTTTTGTGCCGACTTATCCGATATCGACTTCGTAAACGTTTTGGAACCATACAACAGAACGGGAATGGTGAGCGACTTGTAAGCATTAGTCTTTAATCGAGAGAGGGTTTTACTTCTAATTTGTATACTAAGTCAGGAGTATCACCTGTGAGCTTGAAGGCATATGACATTTACTCTTCGTACACTACCAGACATGTTCGTTTCACTTCTTTGTCTAACCGGGAGAAAACTGAACTAACAGCGGAGTTGATAAGAACATCGGTAAATGCCTTTCGTGTAAAAAAGTAGCTTAAGAGTCGGCAAAGATGTGGGTTCAATCGATTACTTTCGGCGTCTATGCTCAAAAGTAGATTTACCAGGTCCAAAGCCGCCACGCTGATAAGTTCCATTAGGATCAGAAAGGACCGCGGCCTTATCGTGTGACTTCTTTAATTTATTGCTGGCGAAAATAATAAGAGCGACAGAGCTGAATAGAGAAGGTACAGGTAATAAGAGTGTATTGCTGCTGGCGAATGCCGATGATATTGACATCATTAACCTTGACAAGAGCGCTGTGAGTTCTGCTTCTACAAACTGGATAAGAAAAGCAAGCGTATGGGTCTGTTAGTGAGCAAGGAGAAGACGAAATATCTCCTGTCATCATACAAGCACTCATAACATTCGCGACGCGCATCCCACGTCGTTGTTGATAGTCATAACTTTGTCGTAGATAACTTCGTCTATCTTGGAACCAGTATTAATACCAACAACATTGTCAGGCTGCAATTTCCACGCAGAATCACTCTTACCAACATTTGCTACATCCGTCTGAAAAGTAATTTCCTCTCTCGACGAACAAAACCAAACTCTACAAGTCATTTATCGTTCCCGTTCTGCTATATGGTGCAGACGCATGGGCGATGACAACATCTGTTGAGTCGGCTTTAGGAGTTTTCGAGAAGCGAAGAAGTGAATCAAGAAACAGCGGCTACGCTTTTTAGGTCATGTGAATAAGAAATTAATATCGATAAATACATACATACAAATGGAAAAACTCATGCAAATCGATATATAAATAATATCGCTAAAAATCGACTTCAACACTAAACCATTGTGCATACAATATTCCAGTAAGTACGTAAGTTAATTATCGTTTCATGCGGTGAACACTGTACTGCACAACTTAATTATGACAAAGTAACCGAAGCTGTACATACCTACCTTTGTATGTATATACAACCGTGCATATAAACGTAGAATATTGCACAACGCGTGCGTGAACGTTAACTGCGCAGTGAATATAGTCGTATAGTGGGCGGTCGACGACTCAACTAGCGCTGGCAGCCTCTCGCACTGTATGTTGACGTTGTCGCCAGCGTCGCCGCGTTCATATTCTCGTGTAAGTTTATATTCTCGATCTCGTTCGCAGCGTTAATCTCGGCTACTATCAATACTGCAGATTGCGCTGCTACCAGCGGCATAGCGCAACGCCTTGCGAAGACCACATACGTTTAACAGCGAGTAAAGTGCCAAAACAATTTCAGTACTCATTCAGAAGTCAAAGCATTCGATCGTTAATTCGTTCCACAATTTCCATTCGCAATATATACAATTGATTTTATTGTTGTACTTGAAGAGACGACGGATTCTTAGTACTCGTTAGTTAAAACACCAACAAGACGTGCACAACAAGTCAGTTTCTCAGTCGGAGTGTGTAGGAAAGAGCCTTACAGCAAAACAGTGGAAAAACTTGGGAATCAAAATAAAACTATAAACTGGTATTCCCAAACAGCCTGTAACTCAGTCAGCTCTTATCGCACACAACAACGAACATTAATTGCCTGAACGTCGAGACGTTCATTCGGGTTTTACAGTTTTGGCATGTTTTTCTCAAATTCGCACGATTTTAATTTGGAACTACTGTAGTCGATTTGTATGTTTGTGTGTCCGTTTGATTGTGTGTTGTCAACAAAACAATTAAAATTCTTGATATCTACGAGTCGATTTTGAAACCGGCAATGAAAAGTTAATAAAAAAAAAAATTGAAGAAAAAATCACAAAAATAAAAGCGCACACGGATATCGAGAACAAAAATAACGACAGGACAGTGGACAGACGACGTCGTGCAAACGTAGCAAACGACGCAAGCAGCAGCAGCAGCGGCGCAGTTTACAAATCAGTGTTAGCCTACGCCGACTCGAGCTTTTAAATGAAAGTGATTCTGTGCTGAACTGTCAGTCAGAATAGTCTTGAAGCGTAAACAGAGGTGTCGGATTGAGCTGCGCAAACAAAACAAAACGCATTGACGTGCATTTAGGCGAAAATATTCAAAACGCCATTGAACGGTTCAAACATCACGGCATGAAGTGAAGTTCAAAAATAATTGATTTCGTCACGAAATGTTGACAAACTACAAATTTTAATTGAAAACGCCCGGAATTTCGTTTAAGCTCAAAGCGCATAAACTTTTTCAAGTACAATCACAGTAACGGTGTAAGAAAACTCTTAAGGTGGCGATCTTTAAGTGCATTGTTATCCTGAAGTACTAAGCTCAAGGTAAGTTTGATCTTTGTAATTTTAACTCAAATATGTTGCTTGGGGTTGGGGCGTCGAATTAACCCTTGAAATGTCTCACGAGAAAACTGTGTTGTCGATTAAGGTCCAAAAGGTTGTTTGGTCAGAAATACGTCCAAAAGTCCGTGGATAAGTAAATTAGGAGGAGTAGCTTATTATCAATGTCAAACAAAGCAGTCACTCCACTTATGTTTTTTTGATCCGACGTTTCATCATGCATGAGCAGCTTATTATTTAACGGACTTCTGTTTCTGTTCGAGTCAAATGGCATACAGCTCGAAAATTACTTAGAGGCTAATAATTTTTTTTAGGTTGTGGTGCATGTTTTGTACTAACTCTGACCATACCCAAATGTTTAAGTTGGATTAAGTACGAGACGAGGATGCCACATAAACACATACGGCAAATCCGTTGTGTTGCCACAAGAAGTAAAAATATACTGAAAGCTGGACCACTTTTCGTTCAGAGAATCGTTTAGTGTATGTCACAAATTTACAAATTTTCCTGATGTCAAAATTTGTCAACTCACTTGTGGGTTAAAAACGTTGGCAAGAATTTTCATTTTCAGTTCCGCAAACGCAGATCGGATGATGCCATCTCTTCTTTCAGAACTACTTCCAAAAGCATGATTTTAGTTCTGAAATATGTCTTCTACCTAACCTTACATAATCATAATCATATGGGTATGACCAGAGTTAGTATAAAATATGCACCTAGACCTCGGGCAACCTAAGGAATCATTAGTCTCGAAACATCTCTTCTTTCAGAACTACTGCCATAGCATTACATTTCTCAGCTTTTCCGCTGTGGCCTATCAACCATATGATTTTAGGTCTGAAATATGTCGACGGCGCTGACAGAGGTGACAAATATTCCTTAACATTTTTGATTTTTTTTAGATCGGCAATCTGAGTAAACGTTAGCCGGTCTCACAGAAACTGCACATCCAAGCAGGGGACTGCAATGGTCTGTTAGCTCAAGCTCTTCGCCAGGGGATCATTATCTGAAGACTCTTCCTTGAAGAACTTAGTGCTTTTTCCCTCTATTGAATATGCCACCTCCAGTCCTCGCGTGTAGGGATTATAGTGATGAAGTTCATCGCTTGGCGTCAGCTCAAAAATACAGTTATTCAAGCAACTGGGGTTGAGTTCGAGTCTCTCAAGAACAGCATAGTGTAGGACGTGTGACTCTAAACTGTGATCCAGACTACCCGGATGCACCACAGATGCTAATGGAAGTCGCTAGTTGAACGGTTTTCAGAAGCTTAGCAAAATTTAGTTATTTTAACAGCTTATATCATAAGAAAACTCAGTAAAATGAGCTAGCCACTACTCAAGGGAAATATTTATATTTGAGGTAGTATAAAGACAGTTCTTTTTGAGGCTTGTCCCCAGGAACGCTCTCTGACAAATGAAAGCAAATGTTCCTACCTATGCGGAGCCAATTCCATGTTCTAATATTTTCATTTGAAAAAGGCAAGTTTTGTCTTACAGGGATTTACGGCGAGATCATTTCTGACCGCCGAACTTGATGCCAAACGCGCCTGACTATGAGCGCTACATCATTTGTCTATGCGACCACATTTCCGCTATCGTATTCTCGCTTTTTAAGCAAGTCGTTGACAACTAAGTTCCGGAGAAATCGGGACAGCTATTTGGCCTTGCGTTCAAGGCGTGAATTTTCACATGTTCTTCAGTCTTGTGGGCTACAGGATTTGAGATATGACATATTATGGTAGTTTTAACCCTGATACTATCTAACGAAGCTAGAGGTTTCAACAGAAAGGAACATAGACCAGTCAGTGTAAAGCCATTAGGTGACACATGCGAACTTTTTCGGTGTTTGGAATGAAAGTTAGTTTGGTTCTCCTCCATGCCCTGAAAATGTACCCTATTCTCAAAAAAGTTGGCTTCGCGGAACCTTTGTCTAATCATGAACTTTTCTGTAGTGTTGTTATTGATTTCCACGACTTATCGCAGATAGTATTGTTATCGTGTTGGATTTATTTTTAAGACTAATAATATTTAGATAGACGAGTCTTTGGAATGCTCCTAGGGTCTTTTTAGCGGGTGCTATCGTTAACCGGTACAAAGTCTACTTCTCAATTGTGTACGCAGTGTAAGGTAGAGTTTGCTGTTAAGTGAATTCTGCGCGCCGAAATCCCGAGTGTATGGATGATGAGATATTTCATCTTATTCTTCTGCACCCGCATCTCATTTGTTTCGTTTTTTTTTTGGTGAATATGAAGAAAGTAGAATAAAATGCCTGCGCTTTTTACTAGCTTTCTGGAAGTATGACAGGGTTGGCGTATTAGGAATTCAAAGATTTTGTTCTCTACTTACTGCTTGCATTCTCACGGCATAATACCCCGTCTCGATTTTGCTGGCAGATAATAGAGAGGGGAGATAGTCGATGACTGTTTCACAATAATAATTTTATGAAAGATTGAAAAGGCGGCCGAGTTGTTAGCGTTGCGTGCTGACATTTGGTAGACCAGGCCTTGAGTCCTGGTCAGACCAGCATTTGAAATTAAAGAAAGTTAATTTTTTTAGTTGTGGTTACCACTCGACAGGGAAAGTCAAGCCCTTAGAGTGTATTGCTGACATGAAAATCAAAGCTCCACATAAAAAACCATCAGCTGCTCAGAGACTGCTTAGAATATGTTTGAGCACCTTCCAATTTTGAGTGAAAGTGCGCCTAAAATCGCTTTAGCGGTTAAACAGCGTCAATTATGTAAATATAAATTGTAGAGGACTTTACCGAAGTATATATCTGTGGAAAATATATAGCCTGCGACACTCCTGTGGAGTTTTAAACTATCACACCAATCGCTTAACCCGTAATAAATGGGATTACAAAACCTTGAAATCGTACATGACCCCAGACGGTATTTGCCAAATACGCTATACCTTACAGCTCATTAAATATCCACTTTCAATTAGCTTTTGCTATATCCTTATTTGTATTGTGAAACCTCACCAAAATATTCCACTCACCATAAGTCCCACAGCGGCTTAATTGACTTGCAGCATCATTAAATTTTTCCAGAACCGTTCGGTTGCGGTTGCCTTTTCCATTCTTGTCACACAACTTTCGAAAATTACATGAATGAGAATATTCTGACATATCCTTGAAGACGCACATGGCATTAATAACTTCATAAGGTAGGTAGGGGTAATAAAAAATAAATGAAAACAAAAACCGGCCATAAAACAAAAGTGAAACTGTATCAAAAGACAAAAGAACGACGATGCGGCCTATCATTAGTAACTAGTTCCTGATGCGAGTATGTCATTATTGAATTAAATAAAAAGTAAATTAAGCAGGAAATGCAAAAATTTAAGGTAAATCGAAAGTTGTTTATCAACTGCAATGGCTTTGATTGCCGCTGTTACCGGCGTCATATAACCGCTATGCATGCAACAATAAATCCAGCAGCAACAACAACAACTCAAAACTAAATAAAATTATATGTAGATGGAAATGTGTACGAGTAGAAGATGCTGCGCAAAGATCAGGGTCACATTAACGGTCATCTGCCCGTGTGCGGTCAGCATAAATTTCTTAATGCCGTTAATGAGGGAACGTAAAAACGCACTCCTTTGCATTTGTATTTGTGCATCTGTGTACATGTGAGCATATGATCCACATGCGTCTGAAAGACAGCGAAGCCCTTGAATTTGCAAGTTTTGCAGGTTCACAAGCTCCGTCCAAAATGATTGGCTGCTGGCTGCTGGCTGCGACTGCGACTGCAATGTCAAGTGCAAGGTTTGCTTGCGTGCCTTGAGGTTTAATGGTTGACAGTAGCGCTTGTGAGCCGCCGGCCAGTGTTGCTTGATAGAAAGGCAGGCTAAGCAGTTAATGTGAATTGGGAGGTCATAAACCTTTAATAGTAATAATCATTATGTAGGTTTAACGAGCACTTTACGGACGATTATTGATTTTGTCTTTTTCAATTAGTTGAGTTCAATGCAGATATGGCCTTATGCGTGCTATGCCAAAAACTTGAGCCTTGCCTCCATATTGCCCAATCTTTATGGATGCCTTCGCCGATGTGAAAAACTTTGTAGAAGACAGTGATGTTAACGAAAACCTTTGCAGAAACTCTAAAGTAGCAAAATTCTATTTTTATTTTGCTTAATAATTTGTTGCTTTTAACAGTTTTTAAAGCCCTTCATGCAGTCCAGTATTTGAAATTTTGCCTCCTTATACCATCTGGAATGTGGAACGAAATCGTTGAGATAATCTCAGCTGTAAGCTTTGAAGATTTTATTATGTCCTGTAGTTGTACTGCCTTGACCTTCCAATGCGAAGTAAGAACAGTAGCGTCTGAAACTTGCCAGCCGCAGTAAAGCTCTAGATACTAGGCAAGCGCGTGGTGACAGCAGCTCACTATTAGAGATTAAGCTTTAATATTAAGCCAAGTAAAAAGTCATCCATAAATTTTGCATTAAATTGGAGGCTTCATTAAAAATAATAAGAATTATTTTTGGCATGAATCAGAAATATGCAAAACATGCTCAACCACCTTTTGTCAATTTGAGTTTACCCCCATTATGTGTCTCTCATAGAAGCTCTAGTCTCTATTAGCCAAAATTGGGGATAATCGAGTTTTGCCATAGACAGGAAAATGTGGTAATCACTTGGTGCTAGGTCCGTACTATAAGGTGGATGTATAAGAACCTTCCTAGCAAATTCACCGAGCTTTTGGTGAGCCGATATCGCGGTGTGGACTGGCTTTATTCTAATGGAACACAATACCTCTCCTGTTAGACAAATCTGTGCACTTCTGTGTGATTGCCTCTTTCAGACGGTCCAATTGCTTACAGTACTGGCCCAAATTAAGAGTTTAGCCATATGGGAGCAGCTCTTAGTGGATGATTTCTCATCGTTCCACCCAGCACACAAGAAAACCTTCTTAGCCGGCAATTCTGGCTTGGAGACAGTTTCTGTCGGTTCTCTGCTTTTCGACCACGAGATAT